GAATGCAGGAACAGGGATGCCTTGCTACAATTCTGCAGGGTAATGAGACCATACCTGCAGTAGTGCATACTGTTTTGGGCTTCTTAGCTGAGGAAGGATGTTATGGCTATGGAGGGGGGTGTAACAAAGGGTTTTTGAAAAAAAATTATTTCTGGAATAGGAGGACTGACATACAAAGAGAGACTGGATCACTTAAGATTATATTCACTGGGGTTTTAGAAGAATGCGAGGAATCTCCGAAAAAACCTATAAAAGTCTAATAGAATGAGACAGTGTAAACATAAAGGATATTCTCGACTACCAGGAAATCCAGAGCTGGGATCAGTTTAAGAATACAGGGTAGGCCATTTCGACTGTGCTGAATGAGAAATGTCCTCACCCAGAGAATGGTGAGCCTGTGGTATTCTCTGCCACAGAAAGGATTGAAGCCAAAATACGGTACGTTTGTATGAAGTAGATAGATAGATATAGTTCTTGGTACTAAAGGGATCAAAGGGTATGGGGAAGAAAACCGAAAATGCATTGGATCAGTCATAATCATATTGAATGGTAGAGCAGATTCAGAGGGCCAAATGATCTCGTCCTGCTCCTGTTTTCTATGTTGCTATGTTTAGCAGTTTTATCATAGCTGCGGTTGCTTTGCTATCGTATGTTTTCAGTACATAATTAGTCCATGAAGGCTAGTTTCACTGGTTGATGATTATTGTGGAGTTATCTGAAATGTCATATTAATATACTTAATTGAAATAACTACCACCTAATGGAATCTTTCCATTTGCAAGTGGGAATTATTGTTATCCTATGGAAGGAAATTACCTGGGTTGTGTTCTCTTTTTTTTCTAAAAAAAATAACGAAGTATGCCTTGCAAGGCTAGTTAAACCCTTTGCACTGTACTCCATTGCATACTAAACCTAAGTAATGGATGGGGTACTTTGTTTTCTTATCATAAATTTTAAGTGACTGTAACATGATTGGAATTGATATTAGGTTTGAGGGAGAAAGGTGGTTTGCAAACTAAGATTTTAAATTTAGTTCACGCTTTCGGATTATGAGAAAAGAATATAGAGGTACCAGAGAAGATGTAAAAACAATTGACAGGAAAAGGCTGAGGCGACTGACGGAAAATCTGGTATTTTTATAATTATAATTATTAAAATTTACGTAGAAACCTCCTCTCCCAGAGAGTTCTAAGAATGTAGAATGCGCTGTCATAAGGGTTAGTTGAGGTGAACAGCAGATGTATTTAAAGGAACTTTTCTGGATAATTACAAGGTATAGAATAGATGAATACATCAGTAAGGTTAGATGAAGGGTGGGATGAAGTATTTGGAGCATAGGTCATTTGTATTGAATGTTATACTCGTGCCCTGCTAACTCTGTGGAATTCTAAGTAAAAGCTGACTTTGAAGGGTAACAGAAATTAACCACAGTAAATTGCTAATGCTTATAACTGCAGATGAACAGTCATAGTCAAAAAAAAAGCATTTGGTAAAAGATCCGTGCAAACCCTTAAAAGATAAAAACATTACTTGTATAATCAAAGAATGACAGTCATCAAAAGAAATGAGAAGATAAAATTAAACAAAGGGTTTATATAAATATAAAGGCTGATGAAGTTCTGATTGGCTGAAAGAAGTACAAAACAGTGGCAAGAACTGTGATCAGGATTCTAAGGAAATTTCAGTTGCTGTTTGGCAAAATGGTATGTTCATTTAAAAAAAAATCAGTGATTTAAAAAAGCCTGATTTATATTTCCCTATGAAAATACACAGATGAAAATCCACTCTTAATGGTTTAAACCTTTTGGTAAGAGAAATGAAGATTGTGCACAGGAGGCACAAAATATGAAAGATGTTTATGAATTATTAGTGGAATGTTCAGAGTGGATAGGTTCAGTGGTGAATAGACTCTTACAGTGATGTAAGAATGAATATTGCGCAGATTAAGACCCGAACACCAGCGAAGTTATAATTCTTATTTTTTGAATGCAAAGTAACATTTAGTAGAAATGCTATTGCATAACTATGGTTATATCTCTTAGTTTCTAGCCATTTTGAAAATTTAGGTTGAAAGATAAGCAAGATTTTTTTTGTTATTATATTGTTATTAGCTACCAGCAACGTTACACTATTCGAAAAGCAACATGTTCCGGCTGACGAATTCATAAATATAGACAAACTTGAACATATATTGCTCAGTTTTCTATCAAACAGCAGGCAGCACCTACCTCTCCCTCTGGGGTCCTCTAATTTGCCCCCCTGGATTTGGTAACCCATTTATCATCCTTAATAGGATGGCAAGATGAGAACTGCCCTGTTGTTTGAGCACTTCTGTAAATTACTGAAACAACGTATATTCTGTGCCTTGCAACCTGAAATCTTTCAGAGGGCTTCAGAATGTACCCAGAAAGACCAAAGCCTATCTTTTTTTAATCTTATACTAATTTTTAAAAAACTGTATATATTTCTGTGATAGTAAATTCAACTTTACTCTTCTTCAGAAGATTGAAGCGGTTATCAAATATCATGCACAGGGTATAGCTATCTCCCCAACAAAGATCATCTTTATCAAATTGCATGGCTAGAAGTTAAATGATACTGGAAAATTATCCATTAATCATTATATTGTTTTGCACCATAAATACTTAACTGTTTAGAGGCTTACAACTGGAGTTAGATTATCTTGCAACACAAATTATCTTTTCATCACTTATGTTGACAATATGGAATCTAATTTGCAGTGGTTGATGTTTGAAACTAATCATGGTACAGTGTTCATTAAGTTTCCTATTGTTTAAATTGAATTTGAGAAAGAAAAGTAATTGTCAATTTCATTTATTCTTATTAATGAATTTTAGAACTTGTTTTGGCTTGAAAAGCTCACAATCGGATGTTCATAAGTAAATAGAATTTTTTTTTTTAAAACTGCTGTGTAATTAAGCTCTTTCTTTTAATTTCATCATATTGCACCAGTTGTTGATTAGAAATAGCAAAATAAATTGCTGGGAGAGCAACTGGGTGACTAAGAATGCATCATGATAAACTCAAGTGTTTTTAAATTGACTAACAACATTTATTCATGTATATATTAGGATTTACACCTCATTTCCCTGAAGTAAATATTGTAATTGTATTTTCATTACCAGAATGAATGGATGATGCATTTTTTGTGATCAGAATCGGTATGGAAGAGCTAGCTTACTGAAAACACTAGCCACTTTTTCTTAAATTAAAATTATGTACTTTGAAAATTATTCTATGTATTTTCGTTTCTGGCTGAAATCAAAGCTGCAAATCTAGTCATGGGGAGAAGATGCTAGAAAGATCTTGAGAGATCCAAGGAAAAATCAAAAAAGATGTAGCTGAAATGGCATCCTTTTATTTTAAATCCTGCTATGTTCATCTGACGGGAAAATCACTGATTTTTTTTCACTTGGTAGAGTTAAAATTGTAGTCAGAGCCTGATTATATGATCAGTTTCTGATCAGTATATTTAATGAAGGAGCCCACTGTGTTCAGGTAGATGTGCTTACTATCTGCTCACTGGAGCAATGTCTAATTAAAGTTACTAGTTCCATGTGTGACATCAGCTGGTAGAATTTAAGAAATAAGCAGCTGATCTGCCTTCACCCCTTGAGCCTGCCTCGTCATTCCATAAAATCATGGTCAAGCTTTTGTACATTAGCTCTGCTTTCCTGCCCTGTCCACATATCTCTTGATTCGCTTAGTGCTGAAGAATCTATCAACTTCCATCTTGTGTATATACTCTAACTGAGCATCCACAGCATTCCTGGCTAAAGAATTCCAAAGATTCACAAGACTTTGTAAAGAAATTTCTTTTAATATTTTCAAAGTAGCTGACATCTTATCCTGAAGCCATGACCCTAATTCTTGACTCTTCGGTTGGGGAAACAGTCCCTCAGCATCTAAGAGCTGTCTAAGAATTAAATCTTCAGATTATTTGTTTTTATTTAAACTGCTCACCTGCCCAGTTTCTGCAAGGTGAGTGTGGAGGTGATGTCCTAGTGGTATTATTGCTAGACTATAAATCAAGAAACTCAGCTAATGTTCTGGCGACCTGGGTTTGTATTCCTTCATGGCAGATGATAGAATTGAATTCAGTTTAAAAGAATAAAAGTCTGGAATTATGAAATCATTGTTGGAAAAGCCCACCTGGCTCACAGCGTCCTTCTGAGAATCCTCGCCTGGTCTGGCTTCCATGTGACTCCGAACCCATAGAAATGTGGTTGACTCTCAACTACCTCCTGAAATGGGCAAGCATACCACTCAGTTGTATCAATCGTTATGAAGTCTCAACAAAAAAATGAAATTGGACAGACTACATGGCATTGACCTAGGTGCCAGAAAAGACAAAGGCAGGAACAGCCCTGCTGACCCTGCAAAATTCCAGCATGAGAGGGCTTGGCCAAAATTGGGAGAGCTGTCTCACAGACTAGTCAGACATGCTCATGGAATCATACCTTACAGACAATGTCCCAGACACCACTATCACCATCCATGGATATGTCCTGTCCCACACGTGGTACAGACCCAACAGAGGTAGTGGCAAGTGGTATATGGTTGGGAGGGAATTGCCCTGGAAGTCCTCAACATTGACACTGGGCACCAAAAAAAGCTCATGGCACCAGGTTAAAGATGGGCGAGGAAAGCTCCTACTGATAACATACCATCCTCCCTCAGCCAATGAATCAGTACTCCTCCATGTTGAACAACACTTGGAGGAAGCATTGAGTGTGGCACAGGCTCAAATGTACTCTGGCTGGTGGACTTCAATATTCACCACCAAGACTGGCTCAGCAGCAGCACTACTGATCAAAATAGTCACATCCTAAAGGACATAGCTGGTAGACTGGGTCTGCAGCAGATGGTGAGGGAACTAACAAGAGGGAAAAACATACTCGACCTCATCCTTAACAATTTGGCAGTTGCAGATGCATCTATCCGTGACAGTATTAGTAAGAGTGACCACCTCACAGTTCTTGTGGAGACAAAGTCCCGCCTTCAGATTGAGAATACCCTTCAATGGATTGTGCAGTACATTACTGTGCTAAATGGGACAGACTTCGAACAGCTTTAACACCTCAAGACTGGGCATCCAAGAGGCAGTGTGGGCTATCAACAGCAGCAGAACTGTACTCCAGCACAATCTCCGACCTTATGGCAGGGCATGTCTCCCACTCAACCAGTACAATCAAGCTAGGGTATCAACCCTGGTTCAATGGAGTGTGCAGGAGGGCATGCCAGGAGCAGCACCAGGCATACCTGAAAATGAAATGTCAACCTGGTGAAGTTACCAAACAAAGACTACTTCCATGCCAACATCCTTGGGGTACCATTGATCAGAAACTCAACTGGACTCGCCAACATAAACACAGCAGCTACACGATCAGGTCAGGGGCTAGGAATACTGTGGTGAGTAACTCACCACCTGACTACCTGAAGCTTGTCCACCAATCTAGAAAGCACAAGTCAGGAGAATGATGGCATACTCCTCATTTGTATGGATGGTTCCCCCTCAACAACACTCAAGAAGCTTGAAATCATCCAGGACAAAGCAGCATGCCTGATAGCTACCAAATCCATAAGCATCCACTCCCTCTACCACCAATGATCCTTAGACAGCACTTTCCAAACCCACGACCACTTCCCTCTAGAAGGACAAGGCCATCAAATATATAGGAACACCACCACCACCTGCAAGTTTCCCTCCAAGCCATTCCTCATCCTGACTTGGAACTATATCACTGGTCCTTCACTGTACTGGGTCAAGACCTGGAATTCCCTCCCTAAGGGCATTGTGGGTTGACGTACAGCACATAGACTGCAATGATTTAAGAAGGCAGCTCATTACCACTTTGTCGAGGGCAACCAGGAACAGGCAGTAAATACTGATCAGCCAGCAATGCCTACATCTCAGAAGTGAACAAAAGAAAATATATTACAGTGTACAGTGTGGATCCGAAATGGCACAAGTATTATCAACAAAGCTGGTTTTCACATTTCTTTCGGACGAGTATTGTACTCTGTTCTTCATACAATCTGAGATTGTGTAAAAACAACTGAAAAAATATTGCCATTTTTCCACATATGTTTGGTCCAAAAACAACTGTCGAGATCCATCAACGTACACAAAAACCACTTAGCCTGCTTTGTGAATGCTGCCAATCTTTAGATTAGGAGAACAATGTTTGCTGTTGAGGGCAGTTTATTCAAAATGTTACTAGATCCTGTATAAATAGTCTATGTGCGAACAACCTGTGGTGGAAGACCTTCAGCAAGTATTCAAACTACTCTGGAATGCTCATTATGATCATCTCAAGGTTCTTAGGGATGAACAAAATAAGGATGGCCTTGCCAGTATTGTTGCATTAAATAAATAATAATCTTATACAGCTGTACGCTCTTGCGTCTTTGATCTTGAGTGATTGAGAACTGTGATACTTTTGATTTTTTTTTGATGCATTCGCTCTTTTCAATACTTACAGTCGATTTTGTAAAATCATAATTTAGTTTGACTTAGAATCATTGTATTTGTACCTAACCATAAAAACATTCAAAACCTAACCGTCTTGTAGATTATCAAATGGTTCAAGGAATATGGTCCAAAGATGTGCTGAGTAGGTGGATTGGCTGTGCTAAATTGCCCATAGTGTTCAGGGATATGTAGGTTAGGTGAATTAGCCATGGGAAATGCAGGGTTACAGGGATAGGGTAAGGGGATAGGTCTGGGTGCGGTTCTTTGGAGGGTTGGTGTGGACTTGTTGGGCCAAATGGCCTGTTTCCACACTCTCTAGGGATTCTAAGGAATACTTTTTGGAAAGGGGTATTCTAACTTTTAAACGTGTCAGGGTAAATTTTTAACTTGTTGTCCAAGTGGAAGAACCGACATTGCAGATATATAGTTTGTTACAAGAGCCACTCCATTCAATCTCATTGATTTCACTAGAAATTAAAATTGTTCTGTTTCTATAGATGGCTGCACAAATCCTTAATTATAGTTTTATGCCTTGGGGCCAAGTTGGAAATCTTCTGTATCTCTTGCTATATCTTGTAGCCCCTGCCAACAACTTGATTATAAATATGTTTGCATTATGGTTTTAGCCTGATAGTTTTAGTTTAGTTGTGATATTTACTTCCTCCAAATGGTTGAGGGAAAGTAACTTTGTAAAGGAGTAGTTACCTAAGTGGCATTCTTTAGTGATTGCTTTATGCAAGATTACAAATGTCTGTTTGGAAAAAGACCCTACACTTGCTGAGCTGCTGATACCCAGCATAGCTGTAACTGCAGTCAAGTAGCTATCATAGAACTGTATGAATTTTCTTTTAGATACTCATTTTGACTACAAGATTTTAATAATTTTTTTAAAAATGCCTAGGCAGTTAACAGTTCAGTTTAGCTATTTGCCTAATTGAGCAAGCTTTCAGATTCCCACTCATCTGGGCTGCTTATCAAGACTGTGGCTTTGCTGTGGTTGGTCCTTTCAAGGTCCTTAGTCCCAAATGCTGTGCCTAATAGGCTGATCCATCTATTAGTGTTTTTATTTTTTAAAATGGGGCGGGTATTTTCTGCCCATGGGGAAAACAAAAAGCCACTTGGAATTGCTTCTCAGTTCTCAAAAAAAATCTATTATTTCCACAGGACAGGTGCAGGTGCCTGAAGAAGAAATTGAGCAAAACGGCCAAAACAGGAGCAAAGGCAGCCACAAAACAGTGTGCATGAATGGCACAGAGGCAGGACAGTTTAACAGCAAGGTCAAAAATGAACGGAGGTCGAGCTCTTCTTCCAATCCATCCCGCAAAGCCTCCACCAGTAGCAGCAAAATTCGGAAACTCTCTGCATGTAAACAGCAATGACCCATCTGTAAACTCTGTGTGGTATGTACTGGAGCTTCCATTAAATTATATTTGAACTGGACACTATCTAAGTGCACACTTTAATGTGACAGTCCAATTGTATATATAAGTTTGTTAAGGAATAGAGACTGCATTGATTCATAGCAATCGGAATAGGGCCAGTCATTAGTCTCTGTGAGATATGACTATATTAGCGAACATGACTTTCTTTACTGTCACTTCATAGTGTGACAGATTGCTTTAAACTATACTTTTCCAGTTCAAACATAATAAAAATTGGGTAAAATTGAACTGTAGTTGAATGGAAACCCAACATGAAGTCACCAGATGCCATATTCGTATTACAGATTTAATATTGTGATATGATACGATCAAGACATTAAAGCCTCCCAAAAAGAATGGTAGGTCACTCATATTTTGCGCTGGGTGATTATTGTCATATAAACTTTGTTTAATTATTTAGAAAACAGCCTCTGTTTCTGTTCTTTTTATATATATATATATATATATATATACTTGAAAGTGATTTATTTTTCTGTAAACATACTAGACTTGTGTGACAGAATGACATTACTTTTATTTCAGTTCATTTTTTAAAAAAAGGGTAGCAATCCCATTCATTTGTCACTTAAGATGAAATTAAGGGAATGGGTATAATATATATTTTACAATACATATTTCGTTATGTTTGTAACCATACCAACCCTTTTTTGTTTTTTTTTCAATTTCCTGTACTTTCGATTTGCTGTACTTTGAGAACCTCTTATGCAAAAAGAGTATTCTTAGTATTGAAAGAGCTGGAATGATTTGTCAGAGCTTTTGAGGTTGGCCGTCCTTCAAAGCTCCTAATAGCTGGTAGCCAGTCTAATGTTGAGCTGCTTTTTAAACAAGAATTGTGATATGGTGGAATAGATTTTAATTTCACTGCTTGGTGGAAAACTGCTGGTTGAGAATCACCCTACTGATACGCCTTATTTATGTTGATGTAAAGGAAAAAACAGCAGTGCATATAATGGATAGTCACTCTGCCACCGTCAGATTTATACCTGGTAGTGAAACGTAAAATCTCTCCCAATCTCAAGTAGTAGAGTCATGTACTCGCTGAGAATTGTTCCTGCCCCATATATGGTTTACGTCTGAGTCAGCTTCGGATTCTGTCTGAGAAAATGAACTGCAAGGAATATTTAGGTGGCTCAGACAGCAGTAGTGTTTCCTGCACAGCTTCCAGGAGTAATTTTCAACATGCAAGATGAGACTGATAGCCTTTTCTGCTCCTGAACGCTTTGCATCAACCACCCAGAAATCTAGAGTATGTTATACATGTGGTTAGTAGATTTGACTGATATGTTTTGGGACTTGAAGCATGTAACTGTAGCTTTTTGCTGGGGATTACTCTACACTGCCATGTTACATAGCTTTTGTCCTCTGAATTCTAATTTTGTGAAACAGGATTGTAATTTTAAGAATTGAACCTGTTAAAGGAGCAGTACGTTAGATGTTTTATGTTTTTAAAATTAAATTATTACATGCTGTCCTCCTTCCTAATGTATTCTTTTATAAATTGGTACAGTTATCAAAGCATATTCTCAATCCAGTCTTTGCAGTTTCCAAGGAAGAACTATCATTCTTCTATACTACAGCTGGTTATAAATGTGCAGCTGCAGTTCCCACTTTCAAACCAAATCAATAGCGCTGGTGCTACCTGAACAAAATGACTTTTTATTTTTCATTATTGTTTTCATGTGTGTAGGTGCACTTGACTGTTTGTTAGCAGTAGACTAATAACTAGCCATTCTGCCTCTAACCAGCCTAGACTCAGGACGTGCTGCTCCTTGAAGTTGGCAAATAAAAGTTTTTTTTTTAATGATTACTTTTGTATGTTGAAAAATGTATAGCAAACCACAGTTTTGGTAGAAAATAGTTGGTGATTGAAAGTTCACAGCTGCTTTGAAAACCATATTTGAAGACTAAATTAAATGGAACATATTTGTAAATGAATACTTTTTGTTTTTGTATGATTTCATACAGAAATGCCATTGTATTTTAGTTTTCTTTATATTTATTAACCGTAGTAAAACCAATGTGTTTATATTGTGCCTCCTGAAGAGTTGTCACAGTTGTTGATTAGTGTGCAAAAAAAATTAAAACTTTAACATTTTTCCCAACTTTGCCAGTGCTGTACTGTGACAACAGTATCGTGCATGTTTGGATATCCTAAATCCCAAAAGTACTACTGACTCCAGTTTTGTAGAAATTTTGGTTAAATTTTAAATAATCAACTTTTCTTAGTATTCTTGTTGCAGGTGTTGTATTAAATTGAATAAAAGGTTTGAAAGTACCCTGTTGCATTCTGAAGGGAGCCACTCTTCTAACAAGTTAGAGCGTGTATATGTAGAGTGAATTGAAAATTACAGTGCTCATGATTCTTGAACAAAATATTATCCTCTTGTTATCTAAGTACCTCTTTAACTTCTCCCATGGTACAACAGTTATGGGTCTTTCATCTCTTCAAAGGCTTTTCAAGGAAAAAGAATATACTGAGGTATTGATTTTTTTTTCCAAAGTTTACTGTTTATTTATGGGGATCGTCACCAGTGACATGTTGCATTTCAGATTTTGTTGTTGGCATTTCTTTGTTCTTGAATTGACCATGACCATTGTCTTGCAAATTAGCTCTGCTTGTCAGTGCACCTACTTGTCAGAACATCTAGGAGCAAGCTGCTATTTTCCATAAACATTCCAAAGAGCATCTTGAATTCTTAATAACCGAAATTTAGCGGCAGAGTATAAGGGGAAACCTAGTTTAGTGACATTTCAACAATAACTGGTGTGATGTCTACATCCTTCAGGCTTCTAAAATGCTAGTTGTATAAGGTTTGGTATTTTTCTATCAACTGAAAGATATATAATTGATCCTAAGGATTGTATTTAGTTCTACCCAATGCTTGTGTACAAAACATTTTAATTTTAAAAGTTAGGATTTAAGTTAACAATTATGGTTTATTGGATGAAACAAGATATAACTTTTAGCCATTTGTAGCACAGTTCCAATTTAATTTTAAACTTATTTAGAGTAGGGTTTCATGGAACTCCTCCAATAAATAGGCATATGCAGAGATGAGAGAAAATACTTGTATGAAGTGCTGAATACAGATTACCTAGTGCAAATGGTTAATGATTACCTGGGAATTCATAACTCTCAGAATAAATAAGACTCCACTGTGGAACAAATAATGAGTTTTGCCACAAAAGTTGATTTTTATTTTAAGTTGTCATTTATTTGGTATGAAACTTAAAGCAGGTTTGTTTAGTCCTGTGCTTTAACCTATTGAAGATTACTTGGTTTTATTTAAATTTATCAGTGGTGAATACTAAACTTTTTGAACACGGTGTATGTACTACTTCTAGAAAGTTATTTTGAATTGCAGAAACTTAAGCCTGTGCAAATAAGATTGGTTACAATTAGTACAGAAGTATGTTTCATTTTAAATTTGACTTGATAGAGGTGTACAAAATGATCAGAGGTATAGATAGAGTGGACAGCCAGAGACTTTTTCCTACAGTGGAGGTAGCTATTATGAGGGGGCATAGTTTTAAAGTGAGTGGAGGTAGATATAGGGGAGATGTCAGAGGTAGGTTCTTTACTCAGAGTGGTAGGGGCGTGGAATGCATTGCCGGAGAGGGTAGTGGAGTCGGCCTCATTAGGGGCATTTAAGCGGGTATTTGATAGGCGTATGGATGATAGTATAAGGTAGGGGTGGAGGTTAGATAGACCTTAGGATTAGGGTAAAAGTTCGGCACAACATCGTGGGCCGAAGGGCCTGTGCTGTGCTGTACTGTTCTATGTTCTATCAGTTACAGGTTTATCATTATGTACTGTGAAATTATCTCTTGTCATTCTAACTTCAGTTTTGAAATTAATTTCATTGGTACAAGAGCATATTTATTTTGCCGTATAGTATCTGCTACGTGAATATAAATTAGGTAAGAAGGAAATTTATACAAGCTTGTTGAAACACCATGACTTCCATGACACATGGTCCTCCCATTTGATTAAATAAAGAGTAATGAATTCAAATATGAACATAAGATGTAGGAGCAGAAGTAGATCATCTGGCCCATTGAACTTGCTCTGCCATTCAATGAAATCATGCTGATGTGATCATCCTCTACTCCACTTTTCTATCTCATCTCCATAACCCGCAATTCTCTTACTGATTAGAAATCTGTCTGTCTCAGCCTTGAGTATACTTGATGACCCAGACTTCTGTGGTAGAGTTTCACAAACTGACTGTCCTTAGAGAGAGAAAAAATCTTTGTTATCTCTGTCTTAAATGGGCAATCCCTTGCATACTAAGATTGTGCCCTCTGGTCCTAGACTTTCACACAGGAGAAACAACCTCTCTACATTTAACCATCAAGGCCCCCAAGAATCCTTTGTTACAATAAGGTTTCCTCTTATTCTTCTAAACACTAATGGGTATAACCCAAACCTACTTAACCTCTCCTTGTAAGACAAACCCTCCATTGCTGGGATCAATCTTTTGAACTTTCTCTGGATTACCTCCAATGCCAATATATTCTTTCCTTCGGTAAGGGGACCAAAACTCTTCACAGTATTCCAGGTTTGGTCTGTGTAGTGCCTTATATAGCTTTAGCAAGACCTCCCTATTTTTATATTCCATTCCCTTGAAATAATGGTCAAGGGTTCATTTGCTTTCTCCAATATGCGCTGAACTTGGATGCTAGGTTTTTGTGATTTGTGTACGAGGATACCCAAATCCCTCTATGCTACAGCTTTCTGCATTTTTTTTTCCCAATTGAAATAATATTCGGCTCCCCTATTGTCCTGTCAAAGTGCATAACTTCACATTTTCCCCACATTATATTTCATTTGCCAATGTTTTGCTCAAGCAAAGGGCAAGATTGGAAGCATAGGGGCCACAAGGGGGTCTACGGGGGTTTGGGAGGGTAGTATGCTTGAGAGGAAGGCTGCAAAGGGAAGAAAACAGTTTAAAGCCTGGAAATTAAACAGTACCTAGGATCTAAGAAAACTTTGAATCACTGAGATAATGAATTCCATGCAAATTATTATGGAAGCCCTGTTTTAAGGCTGTGTACATTCACGATTCTGTACTTTGAAAGATGTTGGGGAATCTACTTTAATGAACACTGTTAATTGTTAAATTTAAGGTGAGATTGAGATTTGAGATATATGAACACGAGTATCCTCTTGGTTAAAATATTCTCATTTTCTGCATTTGCAATGCTAACATATTAGCTGCAACCTGAACAGTGTACATTTGGGGTGATTTTTTTTATGTAGAAGTGTGTGAAATATTTTGGGTGGAAAAATAATTTTGCTACTTTGTCTTTTGTCCCATACCAATTTAATTGCTGTGGTATCTTGGAAATTAATGATTACTTGTGTGCAATGGCTTTTAAGTTTTTAGTGGAGAGTTGGTAGCTTTTGAGGATCTTGATAAATTGCTGTAATTCTGATTCATTGAGCCTAAATACCCTATGTGTCAACACAATACAGAAAGTATTATTGCTACATGACTGTGTCACCTAATAAACATCCAAGTAAGCATGAAATACAACTCTTCGGGAGAAAGAGGTATTTTCACTTCTGCTCAGCATCCATCCTCTCTGGTGCACTTGGGATCTTAACTGTTTCAATAAGACCACCTCTCCTTCTAAACTCCAGTGGCTTCAGGCGTACCCTGTTCGACTTTTCCTCATAAGGTAAACTTTTATCCCACAAATCAGTCAAGTGAACCTACTCTGAACTGCTTCCAATGCAAGTATATCCTTTCTTAAGTTAGGTGATCACAACTGTACTCCTGAAGATTACAGAAAAGGCCACAGCTAGTTTTACTTGTGTGGTCAATGAGACAGAGAGAGAGAAATGCACAAATAGAGTGCAGGGCATGTAGTTTCTTGCCTCGTTCTAAATCAATTTTTTTTTATTTTGGAAGCACGAATTTAACTTTTTCAGCAAATACATTTTTAATCGAAACAGACAGAAGAGGAAGGAAACCAAATACTTTCGTTACTATGAGATAGCAAGAACTGCACATGCTGGAGTCAGAGATAACACAGTATGGAGCTTGAGAAGCATAGCAGGCCAGGCAGCATCAGAGGAGCAGGAATGTTGATGTTTTGGGTCGGGACCCTTGTTTAGAAATGAAGGTTCTGAAGAAGGGTCTTGACCCAAAACATCAACTTCCCTGCTCCTCTGATGCTGCTTGGCCTGCTGTGCTTCTGCAGTGCCATACTATGTTACTTCTATTACTATTTCTTGTAGAATATTATATGCCCTAACACCATCTGGGTAACTTCTCCTTTGATTCTTTTGGAGTCGCTCTTTAATTTGTACTTCCCAGTTACTGATTCACACAACAAGTGGACATGAATTTCCCAAATTATCCTGCCAAAGCTACTTGTTACTTCAAACGCCTTATCAGGTTTTTTTTTGTTTGTGGTACAAATGAAACAAAATAGTTTCTTAAATTTGCTGTTAGAACTAAAGCCTGTCATCCCAGATATCATTTTGATGAAAGTTGTCTGCACCATTTCCTTCTCCTTAATTGTTTTTTTAATTAAAAGAAGGCATTCAAAACTGGAATGCTGCATTTTAATTGTAGCCTTTACTGATGCGTTGTACATAAAACACAAGTAATAGGAGCAGGGAAAGGCCATTCTGTCCTTACAATGTATTCTTGGCTGAACTACTGTATCATCTCTACATTCCTGCACTATTCTCATATCCTTTGATGTCTTGAAAACACTCGATAACTGGCTTCCACAACATTCTAGATTAGGAATTCCAAGTCACAACCCATTGAATAAATTTCTGCGAACTTAAAATGAGTAATCCCTTATTCTGAGACTATGATTCCTAGTTTTAGACTCTCCAATGAATGGAAAATTGCCTTGTCAAGCCTCTTAAGGATTTTATTTGATCACCTCTCATTCTTTTAAACTCAAGAAAC